TTGCAATTTTCTGCATTTACGAGACCACGGACTACCTCAGGTTGTAAGTAATGGACCCAATAATGTCGGAAATTTACCCAGTGACTTCCCGAAGCTAAGGGTTGATGGCATTAACTTGCAAGAATGGTATCAACAGCTCCAGGTTGTCTTTATGAAGGAAAGCTTACTATTTTTTATCACTAGTCCCCCAAAAAGACCTTGGACTCTAAAAATAGATTGTTTACACCATAGAGCATTTTTCTTAATAATATCTAGTGTGTCTCCTGCAATGTATCACAGCATTAAGCCAAATCTGACTGTTTCAGAAATTATTCAATGCATGTTTAATTTGTTTCACAGTGATAGTGTAGCTACCACCACAAGGATGTCTAAAGATTTCTTTTCATCTAGGATAAAACCAGGGGTTTCCATAAGTGAGCATTTAATATCTTTAAACAAAATAAGAGCTGAGCTGCATTTGAGAGGGGAGGTGATTTCAGACCAAACAATGAAAAGTGTTATTATTAACTCACTTGATCCATCATGGGACAATTTTATGTCACATTTAGACACAATCAATCTAGGATACTTATCCATAGAAAGTCTATCCAATAAATTGATAGCAGAAGACAATTCAAGAAGAAATCGTTCTAACAATCACACAGAACACAAACCATATAGGAAAGTAGCTTTCCAAGAAAAATATAATGAAACATTTAAATGTCACAATTGTGGATCCAGGGAACACAATAGAAGAGATTGCCCCAAGATTTCAAAGGAAAGACATAGGTCAGAATATAGGAACAAATACAATTATAGACAGTCTTCCATAGATAGACATAGATATAGAAGCCCACCAAATTACAAAGAGAATAGAGGGGGCAGAGATAATTCAAAGGATAGAAAATCTGGCTCACTGAATGGGTTAAATAAACAAGACAACACTAACATACAGCAAAATGAGAACAATAATTGGCTTATTGATTCTGGAGCAACTAATCACACCACTAATAACAAAAATATATTGTCTTCATTTACAGAAGATAAATTTGTAATAAAGGTAGCTAACCAAGAAAAGGTTCAAGTATTAGGTAGAGGGAATGTAACCCTGCCTGGTCTAGGAAAAATAGAGGGGGTATTGCTAATACCTGAAATACCTCATAACATACTAAGTGCCATAAAACTAAGTAGAGATTCTGACATTAACATTGTTTTTTCAAAAGGAAAAGCGACTTTAGAGAAGAATAAAATAAATATAGGCACTGTGATGATTAAAGGAGGCCTACCTTATCTGATAACAAAGGAAAAATGGCTGCATAACATTGATTCAAATATGGGAGATTGTATTGAAGTAGATGATGAAAATATTAGCAACAGTGATAATGATGAATGTAAAATATCTCATGATCACATAGATGCACACAATGAAAAAAAACCAAAAATAGGTAAGCCAATTCATGATGAGTGTGCTCACATCTTACATAGGAAGTTAGGACATGCCAGTTTTCCTGTAGTACAAAAAATGACTGAACACGCAGAAGGTGTTAAAATAAAAAATTGTGAAAACTATTTGGAATGCTCAGTATGTAAATCTACAAAACTAAAAACTAGTCCCAGGCCAAGAAAATCTACTAGATCAACTAACAAAATTTTTGATTTAGTACACATGGACTTAGTTGGTCCATTAACTCCATCAATCACTTATAGAAAACGTTACTTCTTGACAATAGTAGACGATTATAGCCGCTATGGATTTGTTTATACATTAAAACACAAAGATGAAACCTTTCAAAAATTTAAAGAATTTTACAAACGCATAGAAACACAACACAATATCAAAATAAAACAAATCATGACAGATAGGGGATGTGAATTCATGTCTAAAGAATTCTCCCAATGGTTAAAAGACAAAGGAATGTTACATTACACATCTAGTCCATTTTCTGTGTTCCAGAACGGGATTGTAGAGAGGAAGAATTCAACATTACAAACCATGATTAGATGCACATTGGAAGATGCTGGCTTAAGCAAACAATTCTGGTCAGAAGCCTTACATTATTCAAATTACACACAAAATAGAACCTGGTCCAGCATTGTAAATAAGACACCATATGAAGTGATGTATAATAGGAAACCAAAATTAGCACACATGCACATATTCGGAGTCACTGCAGACGTACACATACCTAAGCAATTAAGAAGAAAGGGAGAAAACGTATCCAGAAGACTCAGATTTATGGGATATGAGACTGGCACTAAAGGGTACAGATTCATTGATAATAATAACAAATTTATAGTCTCCAGAACAGCTGTGTTCCATGAACAGGCCAACTGGTCTAAATTACATCTTAATGAAATATTTCCAAATAAATACAAAGATACAAAATCTCATGAGAAAGGGACCATAGAAAAGCAAAATATCAACAAATATAAAAACAAAACCAAAACTTGGACAAATAGCCAACACAAAATAAAGACAGACACACTAACAAAAAAGGAAGCAAGATATTTGCATGATAACGATAGTAAACCTGAAAAAACTATTAGAAACACCAGAAATCAAATGCCAAATAAATACAAGGATTATATAATGCACATGGATGGTGAGCCAACAACACCTAATACATATGAGGAAGTGTTAAAACTCCCTCGTGAAGAAAAAGAAAAATGGGAATTAGCGATGAAAAAGAGAGATGGAAAGTTTACAAGGATTAAATGTATTTACACCTGCAATTGCACCTAAAGATAAAACAATTATTGGTACCAGGTGGATATATAAAATTAAGAACTTAGAGGGAGGCAATACTCTATACAAAGCCAGACTAGTTGCACAAGGTTATGCACAGAAATATCCGGAGGACTATACTGACATGTATTCCCCCACAGTAAGAACAGAGAGTGTCAAAACAGCTCTAGTGGTAGCATCAGCACTCAATCTTGATGTATTTCAATATGACATACAGACTGCGTATCTACACGCAAAACTAGATAAGGAAATATACGTAAGAGCACCTCACAGTCAATACACAAACAAAAATGAGATTTGGTTGTTAAACAAGAGTTTATACGGGTTAAAACAATCTGGTAAACGATGGTATGATTGTTTAGTAAAAGTACTTAAAACCATGGACTTCAACGCTACCACTGCTGATAACTGTTTCTTTGTCAAAAAGGGTGATGATTACATTGAATTTGTATTGATTTATGTGGATGACATTTTATACATAGGAAAACATAAAGAGAGAGAGAAACTTTTGTAACTAAGCTAAATGAACATTTCTCTTTAAAATCCCTAGGCAAAGTAAACAAATATCTTGGTGTTCAAATTAATAAGACTAGAAGGGGATTCAAACTTACTCAGAGAGATAAGATCATAGAACTTTTAAATAAATGCAATTTAAACAATGCCAAACCTTGTGATACTCCTATGCAAACTGATTTTCTAAGAAATACTGATGAATCTTCCCCCGAATTCAAGGATAACACATTTTATAGATCAATCATAGGTTCACTTCTTTATATATCTAATTGGACAAGACCAGATATCGCCTTACCACTCAATTTATTATCCAGACATGTCAGCAAACCAACAATGTATCACTGGGAAGCTGTTAAAAGAATTTTAAGATATCTGAAAAGTACACTAGACTTTTGTTTAATGTTAGAACCTAATGACAATAAAGAACCAAAGCTTACATGTTACGCAGATGCGGACTGGGCTGGAGACACCTCATGTAGAAAAAGTACATCTGGTTATATATTCCTCTTAAATGACTGTCCAGTTTACTGGTACACTGGTAAACAGGAACTAGTGGCCACTTCAACGACAGAAGCGGAATATGTTTGTTTATCCAAAGCTGCAAATAACCTTGTATGGTTTAATGATTTAATTTCAGATGTTTGGAAAAAACCTGCTTTGCCTTTTGTTATGCATGAAGACAATAAAGCAGCCATTGAAATATCTAGATCTGATGCTATTGGACAAAGGTCCAGACACATAGATATAAAATTTAAACATGTGAGACAATTATCTCAGGATGGATTTATCAAAGCAGTGCATTGTGATACTTCAGAACAATTAGCTGACATATTGACAAAGCCTTTACCTTCTAAGCAACATAAATATTTAACTTCTAAGTTGTATGTTTTGTATTGTCCTGAATCTGAATGTAATTGGTGTTGCATAACGAATCGGCATTTAGAGGGGGATTTGTCAGATGTAAATGCCTTATTCTCTAATGTGTAAATAGTATATGAACGGGGTATCAGGGGTTAACTTATTCTCCACTTCTTAATGTATTCATAATTCACCACTCCCACATATAGCTCCACCCATTGTATATATAAGGAGCTACATGCACCCTTTTCTTTGCTTCTATCTGTGAATATTCAGTGAATATAGAATGCCTATTGTAAATAAAAGGAAATATATTTAAACCTTTAAACTCTTACTAATCTTATTGAGTCTGATCCTGAAAATATTGCAACAAACTTCAGACCAACAATCAAGTACTGTAAGCAATATCCCAATCAAGAAACTGCCAAAGAGCCATCAGTAAACAGCCCAATCAAAGAATCTCTAAGACCGACCCCACCCACACAGACAGGCAAGTCACCAGAATATAAACTGACAGCAAACAGCACTCCTTACTAGCACTGATGCTGTTCCCTAGTTAGGGTAATGAAAGTCTGCAAGAAAACAAGCAAGCTCAGAGAGCACCAAGGACACCCTTTCCTTATTTAAATAAATCATGTTTTCCAAAATGAGATAATATGAATACATTGTTGGTCTATATTGAAATCCTGCAAGTATCAGAGATCTAGACCAGATCTCAGAAATGTAGCAAAATGTACATCCTCTTATATTAAAGTGAACAAAGGATAGCAGCCGAGAACTGGTCTTACCAATGGCATCATCGTCATATTAAAAATATATGGCTTTCAGCTGCTTTAAAAAAACTGAAATGAAAATGTATTCCATATTTGCAAATGAGATAAACTGTGGACCTATTGCATTTCAGAATGTGTTGCAAAGGCATCAGATCTCAAGAATATAAAGTTCACTTGGCACAAAGAGACATCCCTGGAATATGAAAATCGAATTAAGGACAGCAAAGAGATGGGAAAATGGAATTTCATCCACATGATCCAGGTAGAACAAAGCACATTATTATGTCGCCAGACCACTGTTACTGAGGCATTACATTAATGGGCTATTTTTCATGCATGGTGTATTACTGTAATGTTACAAATTTGCTCTTTTTATTTATAAACTATTTTCTCTCGCTGTAGTTTTACCTTCCCGACCTGATAGTTATCCTGTTCTGTAGTGATGGAGAGGAGATATAACTCAACATACAGAGAGGAAGATTTTGCAAATATTTGAATTACAAAATATGCAAAATATTTGAATGATTTAATAAAACATTCCAAGAAATCTGCAAACCCATTTCACCTTGAAATGATTCTTCCCATTTTTTAGATGCTGTATTACGTAAAAGATATGCCAGCTACCATTAGATTCTTTCACGGCCTCTTGAAACCTGGGGCCAAACTTCTCATTATTCTTGTTTCAGGTAGGTTCAAAGCTGAATCCTAAGACATTTGATTTGTGTATTTGTAGTATTTTATTATTTATGTACCACAGGTAATCCTCAATTTATGACCATAATTCAGCCCAACATCTCTGTAGCTAAGTGAGACATTTTTAAATGAATTTTGCCCCATTTTTATGACCTTTCTTGCCACAGTTGTTAAGGTAAATCACTGCAGTTGTTAAGTTAGTAACACAGTTGTTAAGTGAATGTGGCTCAGATGGTTGCAAAAAATGATCACATGACCTCAGGACACTGCAACTGTCATAAATATGAGTCAGTTGCCATGTGTCTGAAATTTGATCACGTGACCATGGGGATGCTGCAATGGTCATAAGAGTGAAAAATGGTCATAAGTCACTTTTTTCCAGTCCAATTGTAACTTTGAACAGTCACTAAATGATTTGTTATAAATTGAGAACCACCTGTATTGAAGTAGTCCATAATGTGGACTACCATATAAAAAGATTACATTGGCCACCAGGAGGCACTATAGGACCACTTTCAACCTATTTCGGAATCATCAGATGTGTGTAGTCAGATGTTATTCTATGGCAGGATTGGGCAATTAATTTTCCCAAGGGGCCACATCAGAAACTGGGACTATTGTGGAGGGCTGAAACCTATAGGCCTGTGAAGGTGCATAGGCATGCATGCACGCATACACATATGTAAAAACTAGAATAGTTATTTGTCAACTGTTTAAACCTTGATCCAGAAACTGACAAATGAAATCAGCCAGCTTTTCCCCATGTGCTCTCTGCCTTATAGTACATTTAGTCAGGTTGCTATTTCTTTGAAAATAAGACTCAGATATGTCACCAGGAATGGTGCTCCCCCTGTGCATAGTGAAAACCAGATTATATTAAAATATTAGAGCTTATTTGCTGATGTTTCATTTTATGGATATAAAGAGTCATCTACCAAAAAAGATTATAAAGTGACTGTATCGATATAAAGATAACCCCAAATAATTCATTAGTCCCATTGAACTCAAAATATATTTATAGGGTATCAGAACAGATGTTAAAAAGAGGAAAGGCACAGGGTCTGAAACACTTTAACTCGTGGGAGGGAGGAGTCCAATTTCCATTAATGAATTCATTCATGTGTTTACAAATTTTTCAGAATGGCACCCATAACACCTAACTGCATTGTGGCATTAAGCAAATAGCTAGAAAGTTCTCTCCAGCTATTTGGCTGGCTCATTTCCATGTTACAACTCCTCATTTCATCCAGTATTGTGGTGCTGGGTAAAAAATCCACACTAGGAGGGTTATGTCTGAAACCTGAGAAAGAAAGATGTATTCAAGTTATCTGAAAAATGAAATAGCAAAGATTGTGATAATGAAGCATTTGTTTTTATCTGGTACTGGGTAAGCAAAGCAAATAACTTATTTAGGATTAGTGCCTAATGCAAGTCTTATGGATACAACCAGCCAAAGTTAAGCACTTTCAGGTTTCATTGATTTCACAGCTTGCATTTGTTATTCTCAGGTTTCTGTTGTGAATAGAACAATATGTACACAGGAACAAGGGGAGGGATGGAAAAGAGAGTTGGGTTTATCAAATACCGTTCACAAAATAGCAGCCTAATAATGCAGAGCAATTATCATGGCAACATCTATATAACCCAACTCAATAGGACTCCAGTCTGCTTATGAACACAAATACACACTTTCTTCTAGATTTTTGAAAGAGTTATTTATCTGGTTATGTTTTCAGTGAAAACAAAACCAAGATTTTTGTCAAATGCTTAGCCTGTAGCGAAACATTGCCCTTTAACCTGGAATTACCAAATTAGGGATTATTTCTCATCTCATCTCACTAACTTCAGCCATATGGTTATTCTTATAAATAAAGGAGCCATGGTTAGAGGTACAGTGGTTAGAATACAATATTGCAGGCTAATTCTGCTGACTGCCGACTACTAACAGTTCAGCAGTTCGATTCTCACTGCCTCAAAGTTGACTTAGCCTTCCATCCTTCCGAGGTTGATAAAATGAGGACCCAGATTGTTGGGGGCAAGATACTCAGAGGGGGCTGTAAAGTACTATGAAGTGGTATATAAGTCTAAGTGCTATTGTTAAAGTAAGGATTTTTTTAAAAATCTTAAAAAAAATCACATACATATATACATACAATAAGAAATTTGAAGGACATTCTTATATTCAAATCACAGAGACATGTATACATAAGAGGTACCCTAAAGAAACAGAACATCTCATGCATCAAATATATGCCTGGGCTACATCTTTGTAGACAGAAGATACATCATTGAATGCCCTTTTCTCTTAATATGTGCATATTGAAAGCGAGTTAATCAGGGAGAAGACCATATTAGATATCAAGTGCTGACTTTACACTTACAAGAGAGATATAATCTTAAAGCTGTATTTCAGAGTAATTAGTTATAAGTTCCTGGGTGCAAAACATATGTATACAACAAGCCAAATTTTATACTGATTATCTACCCTCTGCTGGTACATCTTGAAGCATCTGAGGAGAAAGGGGACATTTACAAGAAATTAGAAAAGGACAAAAAAAATGGGTAAATTTACTCTGACCTGATTTTGGATATTTTTAGTTATAGACTTTTTAAAAACTCAAAACATTTTTCTGTCCCAAGTCTGGCACTCTTATTCCATTTTGAATTTTATTCCATTCCTCTCTTCTCCAGCATACTTAGCAGACACAAGGAATGCAACAGGCAGGTATGCAGAAACGCTAAGTCAGGGATGTCCAACCTTGGCAACTTTAAGACCTGTGGACTTCAACTCCCAGAATCCCCCAGCCATCATAGACATCGCTGCTCTAAACTCACTGAATCTAGGGCACCTATCAGAAAATGTTTATGGGGGCATCCATTGGAACTGAGATACATCCATGTGCAATTTCTTTTCTGCCAGCAGTTCCTCACTTGGGTAAAAGATAACAAAAGAAAGAAGACAGCCAAAGACAATCAGTTAAGGAAAAGATGTGAGATTCCATCATTCAGAGTGAATAGTGTGAGGTACAACAGAGTAGATAAACATCAAAAGAGGTGAACGAACAGAGGAACAGAAGAAGCCTTTGCTAAAATTAGAACTAGTCAACAAAACAACCTCTAGCACGTTGGTACCAAGTCTTATGTCGAAAGCTACTCATACCTGTTCTTTGCAGTGCAGCCTGCCTGAGGAGGGATTCCCAGTGAGTTGTGCTCAGTGTGCTGTTTGCCTCCTCATCTAATAAAAAATTATATCATGTGAAATGGAGAGTAGGAATCTGATAAGGAACACGTGGGACATCAGATCCGCCCATATTTCAGTTGTCGGTGAAACCAGGCCAGCTATAAAGAAAGATATAGGGTTGTTTTTAAAGTTAATATCCTCCTCTCACAGCCAGTTTGCCACAAAGTCTTAAAAAACACCAGTCTGGCACCATATGTTCCATCTACAGGGAGTGATTATAATAATGTGCCAGTCAGGTAGTGTATAATTGCTCCGTTTCAGAAATGGCATTGAGTCACAGAACACCGACACCAGCGCATTCCTTGCAATTAGTGCTCGGCATTCATTTCCTACCACTGGGGGAGGAGGGAGAGACAGGGAAAGAATAAATAACACAAATTTGTTGTGCGGCATCCATTTAAAGCTGACAATGTTTATGTTTCCGAAAGAAACTCTTTCAAGACTGACTGTTTTCCTCCAAAAAAAAAAAAAAGGCAGACAAGTAGCTTTATTAACATGGGGGATTTGCAGTCATACTTCTCAGCAGGCCCTCATTAGTCCTGAATTTATTGCTTTCCTATCCAAAGGGGCCAGAAGCTTTGCCTTTTTATAAATGATTCACATCAGAAATGCTGAATCATGCCACCAAGGGTACCAAATAAATGAATTAGCCTGGTGCCCCTTCCTACTGTTCCTGCTAATATATTTTTTCTTTCTCTCTCTCGCTCTCTGTGGTAATATCTGTACAGCTAACATGCGACCAATTTTTAAACAAAAATAGCTCCTTTCTCACTGTAAGGGTTGCCAACTGGGTGACCTAAGATTGCCAAACATTTCGAGTAATTTGGGACATCTTTAGAATTTCATGATTCTAATGGAATTTCATGATTCTAATGGAGGCCTCCTATCCTGTCATCTTGTCACTCTATACAACTTTATGAAAACTACATTAAAGTCGCATGTAGCCCCGGTTTATTGATGATTCTTTGTCAGAAGACTGGTATTTTCTTGCTTCTCAGTCTCCATGGACGCTTCTGAATTAATTACAATTGCCTATGTTGGGAGCATATATAAGTCGATCTCTCAGCTAAATCATATGAAAGTTAATTAGATTTTAATTAATTATGACTGAAGCTGTACCTAGATGCATACATGCACTAAATGGACTTCCTTTCCAGTAAACAACCAGGATTAGGCTAAATGTACTATTTTCCTGCTTTAATGGATGTACACAAACCTTTACCAATCTAATATACTTTCAATGTGCCTCATAATTTTGGAAATTAAAGTCTAAAACATCAGGCGGGAGCATTATTAGAGACTTTGTCTCTATCAAAATATTTGTAAGATTTCTGTCTCAGATTATGAAAGGTAGTACACAATATCTGGACCTCATTTTAAAGCTGGTATATTCAAATGATGTTAAATAGCGATTACAGCTGGTCCTTGAATTATGACCATAATGGCATCTGCCCATCACAGACGTAAGTCAAGACAGTCATAAAGTGGCTGACCCATGGGACTGACCCAATTTTATGACCTTTTTTGCAGTGATCGTTAAGTGAAGCAATGGTTCAGTATGGGTGCGGTTTTGCCAAAAACAGAAGTAAATGTTGGTTTTCGGCAAAACCATTGTAAAATGTGATCATGTGATTGTGGGATGCTATAAACAGCTATAAATGCAGTCTGGTTGCCGAGTGTCTGCGGTACAGTCATGTGATGGGGGGGGAACATTGGAATTTTGACTCTGGATTGTGAGTGCCCCCAGGAAGGTCCATTGTAACTTCAAATAGTCACTAAGTAACTGGTTGTAAGTTGAGGACTACCTGTATTTCCTATAGGTAGAAATGAAAATGCAGCTTTGAAGTTCAGGATATCTTCAGTAACACAGACACACACACACACACATTTCCACATGTCCTTGTTGTTTTACCAGACACATAAATAGCCATCGTTGTAAGAAATTAATTTTCCATCCTTCAGAAAGGATATATTTTGATACTATATGATGAGATACCTAAGAAAGGACAATTGTTATTTATTTACATAATCACTTATCTCAAAATCTTTCCCTCAATGTCTAATGTCTAATTGGAGATTCAAAGGATGGCTTTAAAGCTGAATAAATGTAAACTAAAGTCATTTATCTTTGACAAAGTCAAGAGCTCTTGAGAGAGAGAGAGAGAGAGAAATGACTGTGAAAATACCCAAATCCTTCTCCCTGTTCCAATAAAAGTGTTTTATTTTAAATATACAGTTAAGTGTGGTGTTCATAGCCTTCCACTGCTAGAATGATTTCACTAGCCCCTTGGGCAATTGCTTCCAAAGTGGCTGTTCAGTCCAGCTCTAAACCTGCTCTTCTAGACGATTTGAAGATTTATCAACCAGTTTCTGATTTATTTGTATGGGGTAGCGAGGAGTCAATCATGAGATTAGCTCTGGTCTCAGTGATGTTCCCATTCACGGTTGGAAATGATCTTCAGCTTCTAAATTATGTACAAAGCTGCAACAGCACTGAGAGAGATTGAAAAGAGTAAGAGGTCTCCTTGAAAATATATAACCACCCCAATTCCAAAACAGGTAATGCCACCCCTGTTCACTACAGATAATGCTCATAAAGAAGGCCTCTCCAATCGGTTTGCGTGTTGAACCAACTTGGACCTAGATTCGGGATATTTGTGGCCTGCAACAGTCTCAAAAAGGCAAGGCACGTGGCAACTTTCTTATTTGGGACCATCTATGGTTCAGCCTGTCATATTCCTTTTTCTCGATAGCTAGTTGCCACAGTCTTTTTCTTGTTATTCTGCCCATATTTTTGCCTCATATTAAATCTGTGCAGACTCTCTCTGGTACTCCTGAACCCATGTGGTGAATTGATTTTCCTCAGATTTCTCCCCAAAATTGATTTTTTTCCAGTTAAGTATTAAGATACCTGCTTGTTCCAATATTATTCACTACCTTCTCAGTTTTTTTTCTCTTCTGTGGGACTATAATCACTCTTTAAAATCTCCAAAGAACATGGCCACTGAACAAGGTTGCCAACAATTTAGGGACTTATAATGCAAATACATCTGAAAGGAACAACATGGGGAAAATGAACTTAAATTTGAATTTGATGGAATTTCACTGGTTTGGTTTTTAATTCTATTTCAAGCCCTGGGTTTAAAATGTGGGAAATCCATTCATTGCAAATTATATAACCCAGTCAAACAAACAGTAAACAACATCTTAATCAAGGAACTACCAACATCTTTTCCACCAACACTGACAGAGCAAGCTCCTACTATACAGAGAGCAAGCCCCCACTTCTTACTAGAACTGATGATGTTACCTAGTTAGGTAATGAAATGCCTGCAAGAAAATAACCAAGCTCAGAGAGCACCAAAGACCCCACAGTTCAACCCTGAGCTATAGATATTATCTTCTATTGGAACATGTATAATACAAATGATTTGTCACTGACATGTTTGTGATATTGTTTATTTGACAGGACGCAGTAGCTGGGCCAAATTGTGGAGGAAATATGGTCCTCGGTTACCTCCAAATGATCTTTGTTTATATATTTCTTCTGCTGATGTTGAAGAGATGCTTGATGGTTCTGGACTGAAGTATCAGTCTTATGAGCTTCTATCAGACATGGACATTACAGATTGCTTTACTGAAGGGAGCAAAACTGGGGAACTTTTGCTTGATTTTTTGACAGAAACCTGTAATTTCAGTAACACTGCCCCTCTTGATCTAAAAAATGAACTCATTGAAGATCTTAAAAAGCCTGAATATAGTGAAAGGAGAGGTGACAAGTATTTTTTTAATAACACCCTGAATGCAATAATAATTGAACATTAAAATGGAGAGACTTATTTACAAACATAATATCACTATGAACTTGTTTAATATTTTAATAATGGTTGTATGTGAAACGTGAGATAAATACAGACAGAAACACCCAAGTGGGATATATTATTTTGTGCCTCGAGTTATCATTGTTAAGAGTATCAATACCAGTATGTGTTTGCAATGTTGCAGAGAGACACCTTATTAATAAATTAAAACTTACTTTATTGGGATGCCTATCATTATTTCTATGTGAAGGTCCTATGTTGAGATGATGAATCAGAACTTGAAAAGACAGAAGTCTATATTCATCTGGTTGATGAAGAAAGTGTGGTTGACAACCAGTTTGCACTGGTTGTTGCAGTGCCCTGCAATCACGTAATCATCATGTGTAAACACCATTTGTAACCTCCATGTAATCACCATTTGTAACTTTTCCTGCCAGCTTCCCCAGAAAGTCAATGGAGAAGCCTGCAGGTTGCTGTGGTAAGGCTACCCCCTTACCAGCCCCTCTGTGTTTGCAGCATGTCAGCCACTTTTGAATGCCAAAAGAGAAGTATTTTCTGAAAGATATTTATGTTATTCTTTAAAGCAAAGACAATGGATTCTTATGGCTCTTATTATTGCATACATGTGAATCACCGTCCACCTCATGTAAGATAGATAGATAGATAGATAGATAGATAGATAGATAGATAGATAGATAGATAGATATAGATTGCCTACTCTTAGATGTTTACAAAAATTATGCACATGTTGCCATAGTTGTGTGTGTGTGTGTGTGTGTGTGTGTGTGTGTGTGTGTGTGATACTTAAATTGTTGAGATCTTGTTCTCTGAGCTTGCTTCTGTTCTTGTAGATATTTCACGACCAGTTTAGGAAACATTATCAGTGCATGGGGGAGTGGAGTTTTCTGGCTGTTTCTATATGGTAGCTTGTCTTATCAGTCTAGTTTGGGACATTGTTTCTTCTTTGATTGCTTTTTTGGTGAAATATTGCTTCTTCTTAGATTGTTCTTGTTTATCTGACAGCTGGTTGCTGCTTGTCTGGGTGCTGGTCAATAGATGTCTGATGAGGAAGGAAGTGTTTGCTTCTTTCCTTGACTTTTCATCACTTCTTTTCTTGAATGGTTTGTGGTTGGAGCTTATCTCAATATGTCTCTTAATGGCTGATTCACAGAGTGTACAACATCTAGGAATTTTCTTGCATTTTTGGTCTAAGGTGTCTAGTTTCCCAATTGAAAATATGGTTGAAATTATCAGTGTGTTGTGAAATTAAGGAGTTTTTTTTTTAACTATCAGTTAATGTTCATGGATCTGTTCTCTTTTCATGAAATATTGTCCTTCTTTTATGACTTGTTACATTATGATTAGGTCATTGAGGGTTTTTCTGATTTGGTTGTTTAGTTTCTGTATAGGGTTTGTATTTATGAGATTGTAGGTTTCCTTGTCATTCAGCATCCTTTATATTTTTGGGATGTAATGTTTTTTTTTCTTCTTATGAAAACTGTGGTTGAGCTGTTGGGAAGACAATGATGGTTTGATCATTTTCTAGTGTTTTTCGGGCTGCTTTTTTCTGCCTTGAAGTTATTCCGTTTCCTTATATGTTTGGTCAAAGGAATAATTCCTTCCTTTATGGGAGATGTTATGTTCTGAGGTAGCTAAGAATGCTTAACCACCCATTCAGGTTCAGATTCATTTTGGGATGTGTGAATCTTGTGATCTGAGATCACGAGCCATCCAGTGCAGCAGTCAACATTAGCTTCAAAGGATACATTTTAAAAATCATCAGGGGAAGGTTTATACTTTAGAAAGCCTTCCTGTAGAAACAGTTGTGTCCTAGAGGGCATACAAAATTCTTCAGTTGTTTGGAGGATTTGGCAAAATGGATTAGTTCACAAAGAAAGAGGAGGGGGTTGTTCCTCTTCCAGAAAGGAAAGTTTTGACTTTATGCCAATTTGCGTGCTCTGCCATTCATTGATAGGTGATGCTTCCTAAGTGGCTGACATTTTCTACCTTGGAAATTCTCAGGCAAGGAACTCAAGGAAGGTGGGGAACAAAGTATTTGTTTAGCCACACAATAAGCATTCCTTCTTGGGATCGATCTAGCATGGTGGCCATATGTGCAAATACAATCAAGATATGAGACAGATGCAAGAATGTACAGTTTTTTTATAAAGGACCAATAGAACTAGACCAGATATTACTAGGCACAGATGAAAAATTCATTTAAAAAATTTATAGCTACTTACTGAGTATTCAAATGGAAGAAGAGCAAGTGAAAGAAACAATGATAAAATGGGCTAAAAACTTTGGTTGCCCAATAGAACTAGACAAATGGCAGAAACTGTGGGACAGAAACTGTAAATTAACAATGTCAATGGCCAATAAGGAAAATCTATACAAAATGTTTTATAGATGGTGTTATGTACGGATTGGCTAGAATCTACATAAGTTTTCATGCTCACCACGGATTGGCTAGAATCTACATAAGGTTTCATGCTCGCCATGGATTGGCTAGAATCTACATAAGGGTTCATGCTCACCGCTGATTGGCTGTCCAGACCGTGGGAGATTTAACCTGCCATCATTGGCCGGCTGGTCTGCCTGGAGCTCTTTAAGAAGGCGAGCTCCGGCAGCCCAGCTGGCAGAGCGCAGTCACAGTTTGCTGGAAATAAAAAGGTGCTGAATTCACTAACGACTCTTGCCTGTTGCCTTGCGCTGATCTAACAGATGGCATTTACCACCAGCGAGGCTAGCAAAGAAGTTTGAAAACTTATCAGCTAACTGTTGGAAGTGTAATCACATACCAGGTTCATATTACCATATGTAGTAGACATGCCCAAAGGCAAAAAAATATTGGACTAAAATACATACTTGGTTAGAAAAAATGATAAAACCACACATAGATTTGAAACCTGAAATATTTCTGCTGGGGACATTACCAGAACAGTATAATAAAGGGAATACATATTTAATTTTGCATGTAGTAACAATAGCAAGAATAGTGTTTGTACAACAATGGAAAAATGAAGATGTCTCGACAGATGAAAGTGTAATAAAAAAAATATTAGAATGTGCAGAGATGGATAGATTGACAAGATAAAAGAAAAGGAAAAACAGAATACTTTTTAACATGGAATATATTTTACCTAATATAGTTAACTAATAAAAACAGAGGTTAGAATTTAAAAAGAATTTAAAGAGATAACAAAAAAATTGTATGGAAAACATTGTAAAGATGGACAAATTAATTGTTTTATTATTTTATGATTAATATTGATATGTTTATTATGATTACTAGCATGATTATGGTTATTGTTGTACTTTTACTCAAAATTAATTATACCCAGACAATACGCTGTTCAGATAGACATGGAATTTTTTATGTTTTTAAAGAAAAATGTACCAATAAAACATATATTCAAATAAGTATTCCTTCAACAAGACATTTACAGTCTACTGGAGGAGAGGCTGATTTCTCCTTTTTTTTTTACTGAATTAAAAAACAATCTTTTATGACTCATTTCCCACCTTTAATGTTTCGCTATTGCTGTGGATACAAGAGAATGTGGACACATGCGCATAAAGCACACAAAGAAAAAGTTAATAATTCTGCTTCTAATTAAATTCCCTTGGTCACTTTCATAGTTCTTTTTCATTCTGCATTTCTCTCATTAATAGAAATCTGAAAGTGTAGTGCTGCCTGTTCCATTGGTGAGGGCACATTGGATAATAGTGTATGCTTCATTCACTTAAGCACAAAGTACACAAATCTTTATATTTTCATGCAATTGTTCAATATATACTGCAGAATTAAACAAAGATTTATTTTAGCCATTAAAATTCATATTTTGTTTTGCCCTATCCTTGGTGGGACATTCGTGTAGAATAGGATGATCTTTCTCATCTTCAATCCAATTAATCTGGAGAAATAGTTTTTATTTTTAACATGGTCTCATTTCCCCCTGATATAAACAAGGACTCTTCAACCATGATGAGTCAATCATTCTTAGCAAGAGGACAAAGCATGCCAAAATAAGATAGAACTGTCCTTCTTGCCATTGGTAAAATGCAGTGAGATGAGATCATTGGAAAGCGGGTGTGCTTAATTATGGTCCATAGCCTACATAAGCTGGTTAGAAGCCTCCATGGCATGGAACTTCAATGCAGACCATGAAGTGTGTGTGTATGGGAGTGATTCTCTGGGGTTTCCTGACTGGCAGAAGGGCCACGGGGTCTTTCTTTGTCTTATTATATTCTTCAATACTCATGATTATTCATTGATTGCTGTCTAATGTTACGCTATTGTTATTTTCTTCTTTTGCCTTGTAATAAAACCTTAACTGAATAGTTATTGCTTCTGAATGCAAAGGAGACATCTAGAAATTGTTGAACTATAGCTCCTGGAAGCCCCAGCATGCATGGCCAATGCTAAGAGATCCTGGGAGTTATAGTTTGGCAGCCTTTGGAGAGTTGGCTATAAAAGAATCCATCTATCCCTTTTGAAGCTGTGTGTAGGAGATGACCAGGCTGAGCCCAAGGGTGGGGTCAAATGAGTCATCAGTTTGGAGTCACTGCACTCCCACAAGAGATCTAAGTCTAGCCCCCCCCCCCCGTGAATTTCATTGACTCTTATCTACCGCCAATTTGCCTTTACCATTAGTAGTTCAGATTCTTTTGTATAGGTAGCATGAAATAAACTCGTACTTTTGAACCGTCTCTTGCCCCTGGTTTATTGCACCTGACATGTGTGCTCCATTGTAGAAAGCTCTCTTGTTAGGAAGTTTTTTCTAACATCTAGATGAAGTCTGTAATTTTGCAAATTCTACTCACCGTTTTTGGTTTTGTCCCCTGGAATACAACTCATCTTCTCCATTCCAGATTGCTGATATGGAAGACTGGCACTGTATCCCTCCTTTAATTTACATTCCCTGGCTTAAATAGATGCAGATATTTCAACTATTAACGGGACTGCATCAACTTTCCCATCATAATGGTTTCTGTTCTCTTGGTTCAGTTCCAGTTCGTGATTATTCTTCTTAAAAGGCAATGCCCAAAACTGGATATAATGCTCTAGATGTGTTCATGTTATGATGAACACTTGTGTAGAACAGCTTAAGATATTTTACAGCCTGAGGCAAAGAATAAGAGGACAGATCTCCTTCTATTCCCTCTACAAAGCCTGACTAGACTGGGAACTGGAGAACGTATTAACCCTGACAAAG